TATAATAGTTATATATTTTGACATATAAATGGTACGTTAGAAAAACGATATATAAATTAATTTTTATTTATTCATTTTAAGTACTTAATTTAGTTTTTGATTAAGATAAATGATATATATTATTTAGCAAAGCTGTATTACTGGGCGTCTAAATTAAACGTCTTCCCCTAGTCTTCAATGTGCCTTCTTTGCTTAATTGCTTAACTATGCCCTGGGCCCGCTATGAAGGGGATGTTAAGTGGGGGACTGGTAATAAAAGTTTAAATTCACTAATATAGAATATAGTAGTGCAAAAGTACGCACCATGCCGACTTAATCACATCGAATTATCCCTTGGCGATTATGTCTATGTTCTGCAGCATTATGGTCGTAAGTTTTTATTTGATATATATTTTTAGCCTGGTTTTATGGTTATAAAGCGGAAAGTTTGCGTGAAAGAGGTGTCTTTCCAAAATGCTTTATAAAATTTGAAGACGATTCGTTTTGGCCGGAAGTCTTTGCAGAGATCCACGGTTTTATGCCTTCTATATCGAATACGTTTATCGTAATTATAAATAACTAACGATTATTTTATAGAATGGCAACCAAGGAACATTTACTGCTATATCTAATTTGCTTTCTTTGATATCTGAGCACAAAAACAATTTACATGCAAATCTAACGGAGGTACTGGATTAAAATATTTTTTATATCTTTCTAGCATGAATCGCATTTGGAAATGAGCAAAGTATTTTTGCATCTTAATATCATCAAAAAGTAATTTTCGTATTTTCTAATTAACTTCCCTAGACATTTGAATTTTCCTTTGGATATAAGAGATAAGATGTTCAGCCCCATAAATCCCTTTGATTGTCTGGGAGTTGATTTATTCAGAAGTCATAAGCGCACCATAAAAGAAATAAAAAATGCTGAAGTACGTTTACTGACTTTTTTCTTAAGTTTTTTACGACCATCTGCCTTTTCACTTTTTATTATTACGAAATTACTCTTTTATCTTACGGTTTTACTGGCCCAATAATAGGCACGATTAATTAATATGTTATACTCTATACAAGGTACACAGTCTTTATCCATTTCAATTTACTGCCTAATTAAATATTGCCATTCTATTTATTTCACCCCAGTTCATTTTACCCATTCTGAATCGATTATTTTCTCCGGATTTTACGCTTCTGACCACTTATATCAGGATTTAGTTTGAATTTTGGATTAGTCATCGTAATCAACTTACTCAGCTCTTCTATTAGTCAAATGATTAATTTTCTAAAATTTCTGATTGAATATGACTAGCAATTATGTATTACCCTAAATTTCTAGTATATGATACGTCCAATCTCCCAAAAGTTTATCACACTCAGAAGTAAAAATAAAAGTGGTTCCTGATTTATATCTTTTTTAGACCTATTCTCAACGCCCCTCACAACGAACTTTCAGTCTGATAGTCCGATTTAATCGGCTTCCTGGACACCAAGCAGCCGTCTATCTTGCCAGTCAGACAGTGAAGCACACCGACTTCGTTAATATTAGCAATAGCAGCGTGTCCGCTAGTGCCACAATGCCTGGCTCAAAGGGATCTGCTTCCGGCGTTTGTAGTAATCCAGTTACCTGCCTCACGGAGATGGACATAGATGCTTTGACTTCTCACATAAGTAGCTACACTCTGGGCGAGGTCTGCAGATTGAGCGAAAGTATCATCCTTGATAGTACTGAGTGGCAGCCTGGACAAGGTCTGATATTCACTGTAAGCTATCATTATAACTAGCCGTAAATATCAATTTGCTAATATATGTTTTCTGGCAGAAATACTGTCATAATTTTATATAAACTCGCCAACTAACGTGCTTAATTCTTTTAGAAGCTAAGGGTCACTATACTGTATTCTGTAATAGTTGGCTAGAGTTGTTTGCTCACTAGTAACTTTTAGCCCCTTTTATTGTTGCGTAATGTTATCCTATATTTATTCATAACTTATAATTTTATGTTTTATATTTTAATCTACCCCTTTACTTAGTGTTTAGCATTTTAATAATTTACTTATGCTTCTTTTTACCCAGTTATTATTATATTATCTCTTACCATAGACCATCTGTATTTCTAGCTTTACTAACTCGAATGAATGAATGGGCTAAGTAAGATTTGAAATTATTTTTGACTATGAAGTTTAACAGAATTTCTTTGACCTGCATTATATGCCAAAGTGGATATCTCTAACTTGCTGCTAGACAAAAAGACCAGCATGAGCTATCTCGAAGCATCTCATAGTGACAAGCCAGGGAGTACAGGTTGAAAAAGGAACTCTAAAGAATTTCTCAGCTCAGTAATCCTTACCTCTCTATAATGCAATGGGGGATGTTGCTTTTGGATTGTGCAAACCAAAGCTTTACCCCTAGCAAAATATACTCTATACTATACTTTTTCTATATGTTGTGTATCGATCTCCTAGGTATTTTGATTTGTAGACATTGTGATAAATGCAAGAGTTATGCTTAAATGATGAGAAGTCCTTAAACACTGAAGTATATAGCATTTTTGTGTATGATTTTGTTTTTATTATCATGCTTAAAATGACTTGATACTTTTTTATCAACTAACAATTCCTCCAGTTGATGCTGCTTTTTATAAAAAAATTCTGGGTTATCTTCTTTTCCGGAACAATTACTTAAACTTTTCTTAGGTTTGAAGACCAAGATGACATTTATTTGGATTTTATTGCAGTCTCCTTTAGCTGTATGCTTTTGCTTTGACCTCTTCTTCGTAACTTGGACAGGGAGATAGAGAAATTTTGTGGAACATACCCAGTCTTGTTTCCTATGCCATAGTACCATCGAACCTATGATATTATACATTTTCCATCGTTTCTCCTTCATCATATTCAGCATCGTTAGTGAGAGGTGCTATCCTTAGCACAGAGTTACAACTCATCAAACTGACTAGTGAAGGCAATTAACTTGACTAATTTTCTGTTAAACTATTGTGGCATTTTCCCTTCCACTAGATCTGTATCCTTACCCTCTAAAAGTCAAATATCTACCTACAGCTCAATTTATCTCCGTGTGTTCCAATTTCTCCGTAGAGTGTATCACTTCAGGTCGTTCTAGTGAAGCATAGTAATCTTCGCCATTAGTTTCAAGTGTCATTCGCAAAGCCTATGTAACCCAATCAGCTCCTTCCCATACT